CTTGCCAACTCCTAGAATTATGACATTTTCAGAGCTGCAAAGGGACATAAGAAGTAATGGTCCAGTGACCTCTTTTTGTAACTTGGAACCTGTGGTTTTCCCAGATCTTACAGTGAGACCAAAATCTAGATGTTTGAACCCCAGGATAGGGATTTTTTAGTGCTGTCTCCAAAATCAACTTAAGCTTTTTTGTAATCTGATACATGTGAGCACTTAATTATTTGACTATAATTACATTTTGTGAATTTACATGTGAATTTTACTTCCAGCTCATGTCTGAATGTGCGATTAGAACAAAACTCTCTTATTGCAAAATCCTGTCTAGTTTTTGGAACTTTGGTCTCTAGTAAATATCGGGTATAATCAAGTCCCTGGTTATCAGTATCAAAAGGTGAAAGCAAAGATGTTTTAGATAGTTTTTACTTCTGACCCTTTAGTTGTTGAAAGTGACAAATAATAGTTGGTGATTTACCGTCAAAAATACTAGAAAGGGGGCGCCTGGGTGGCTCAGTGGGTTAAAGCCTCTGCCTTCAGCTCAGGACAGGATCCCAGGGTCCTGGGATCGAGCCCCGCATCGGGCTCTCTGCTCAGTGGGGAGCCTGCTTCCTCCTCTCTCTGCCTGCCTCTCTCACTACTTGTGATCTCTCTCTCCTGTCAAATAAATAAATAAAATCTTTAAAAAAAAAGTACTAGAAAGTTTCAGCTGACCTGGGAAGGGCTGTCTTCATCAAATAAGAGAAAAAACTGAAATACAAAGAAAGCAAGTATTTCGTTTTCTCATTTAAACAGTGATAGAGGGGCGCCTGGGTGGCTCAGTGGGTTAAAGCCTCTGCCTTCGGCTTAGGTCATGATCCCAGGGTCCTGGGATCGAGCCCCACATCGGGCTCTCTGCTCTGCAGGGAACCTGCTTCCTCCTCTCTCTCTGTCTGCCTCTCTGCCTACTTGTGATCTCTGTCTGTCAAATGGATAAATAAAATCTTTAAAAAAAAATAAACAGTGATAGAAATTAGACAAATGATTATACTCTGACTTAACAAACATTCCTTTGATTTTTATGATACGGTTTAGAATTAGACCCCAGAAAGGTTATCTTCAATGTTTCATCTCTGATTTAGAGACCTAAATTTCTAAGATCCACCTGTATTGCAACTGAAAGGAACAAATGAAGAATCATAGAAATATAGAGTACCAGTTATACAGTTTTTACTGTTGGATATGCTGCTTTAAGAAAATAATGCCTTTGTGGGTTTTGTAACAATTCCACAGGAGAACATATTTTAAATTACCTGTTATTTCTATCCGGAGTTGCCATTTTTATTAATGAACTCAATTCAGTCATTTCTTTGCATATATAAAGATGAATGGGTAAACAGATATGAAATGACAGAAGTAATGAGGGGTTAGTGTGTGGTATATGCAGCTTACTCTCAAACAGTCTATTTTCTAAGGAGATAATCTGTGTGTATTTCTTAAAAAAGAGGATATTTTATTCTGATAATACAGTTGTCAAGTGGTATAATCTCTTGACAACACCTTTCTCTCCCAAACCTCTTTACTGTTCGATTATTACTCTGAGCTCTTAGATTCCTTTTTAGTGAGATCTTTCTGGTGCTGAAAGTGTCCCAGAACTTACCAGTGGGAGCCCCTCAAGGTGGCTTCTGTTTCCTGTTGGTATGTACCCGTTAGTTTTTGAGTAATTGTTTGCTTTTTATGACACAAAAGATGTTCCAGGCCCACTTGGTACTTTTCCTGCCCTAGACCAGGAGTCAGCTGTTTTCCGTAAGAAGCCTTGGTTCCTTTGAGTGGGAGATGGTATTTGCAAACCAAGATCTGAGCACCAGGTGTGCTCATTGATAATGGGGTGTTACTGTTTTAAGGCTTCTTAATGAAAGATGCTTGGAATTTTTTTTTAAGTTATGAACTCATGTTCATACGTGCAGTTCAAATACAGTACACCCAGATTCTTTGCACATTCCCCTGTTTCATACTTTGATGTTCAGCTTTTGCCACATCCCCTTTGTAGAGCCTGTACTATTTTGCATGCCACTTCTGCAATGGATGAGTGTGCCTGTGTCCCCCTAGCCTTCCCAGCAGGTCAGCTGTTGTCAGGCTTTTCAGTGTCCTTTTGAAGTGTAAGAAATCACATCTCTAAATAATTTTGATTTGGGTTTCTCTTACTGTGTGTGACCCTAAGCATTTTGTTTCATGTGTAAGGACTAATTGGATTACTTTGTATATATACAGTTGAACAACAAGAGTTTGAACTCTATGGGTCCACTTATGCAGTTTTTTTTTTTTTATAAATACAATATAGTACTGTAAATGTATTTTCTTTTCCTTATGATTTTCTTAATAACTTTTTCTTTAGCTTCCTTTGTTATAAAAATACAGTGTGTAACACTTAAAACACACAGAATGTAAGCTCATCGACAGTTGGTGTTCTCAGTAAGGCTTCAGTCAACAGTAGGCCATTAGTAGTTAAGTTTTGGGGGAGTCAGAAGGTATACATGATTTTCAACTGCGTGGGGGTAGGTGCCCTAACCCCTGCTTTGTTCAAAAGTCAACTTTGTTCAAAAGCCCACTTTTCTACCTTGTTTGGTCTTCTTTTGGTAGATTTTTAGGAATTGTGTGTGTGTGGGAACTTATCTGCCTAATACCAAGAACTCTCAAATTTTTTTAAAGAAGATTCTTTTAAAAAAAAAATATGGTACTTGTTGCAAATATTTTCATCCAGTTCGCCAGTTGTCTTTTGTCTTGGCTTGTGTGGGTGCTTACTCATTTTTAAAAATGTATGGTGTTTTCTTCACACAAAAGGTTTTTATTTATCCATTTTTCATTGCATCTGGGTTTCTGTCATAGTCAGAAACCACACCCAGGTTTCAAGTGCATCCACACAAGTTTTCTTGCAGTGTTTATGGTTCCTGTTCTTAAAATCAGAGCCTTTACCCATGTAGAGTTTTTCTGGTTTAGGGTGTGAGGTGTGGACCTAATTCAGTCTTTTTCTAACTAACTAGCTTTTGGAAAGCCATTTGGGCTCTCTGTTTTGTTTTAGGACTTTCTGTTCTGTTTGGCCGGTTGGCCTGTCTAGCGGGAGATTCCATCCGAAAGAGCATTGTGTGCTGTCTGCAGCGGGGAGTCGGCACACCGCTTCCGTTGTGTGCTTCCAGGAGGCTCACTAGGTACTCTCGCTGTGATGCAGGCCTGTGTGTAGGCTTGCTGCAGGGTTGGTTCTGGGCCCAGAGGAGGGGACCGAACAAAAGGAGGGACCGAACAAAAGGACTGGACAGTAAATCCAAAACACCTTCACTTGGACAAGTTTTATTTTGGTGTGGTTCCTTCAGAATTAGATTATGAAATAATACCTTAAATTTAACTTAAAAACAAATGAGCATGGGCACCTGGGTGGCTCAGTGGGTTAAAACCTCTGCCTTCAGCTCAGGTCATGATTCCAGGGTCCTGGGATCGAGCCCCGAATTGGGCTCTCTGCTCAGCAGGGAGCCTGCTTCCTCCTCTCTCTCTCTGCCTGCCTCTCTGCCTACTTGTGATCTCTCTGTCAAATAAATAAGTAAAATCTTTAAAAAAATAAAAGAGCATGAAAAGCACTTAATATTATTGGACCTAGAACAAATAAAACAATACACATTCAGCCATATTCATTGGCTGGTCTTAGTAAACATTATGTTTCATCACTAGTAAGTGAGGAGGCAATAGTGAAGTAGGCTTTTTGCAGCATTTGGAAGTGGGCAAGTCTGGGATTGGCTGCTCTTGAACTTGGCAGTGGTCAAAGTGAGATGACAAATGTCTGAGAGGCATTCAGGGTGCCGGCTTGAAGCTGGACTGGGCAGACGTCGGGAGATAAGAGTGCACGGAACAAGGATGTCTGGAGAGAAGCCCATGCTGGCCTTTATCTTCTAGCCCCCTCCCCATCCACTTCTTAGAGCTCTGCACCTTTTTGGTCTTTTTTCCTGGTTACTGGGGAAAAGGGCAGTATAAACCAACATGTTCATGGAAAGCCCTGGAAAAAACTTCCATACTTTCTAGTATTAGGATACTAATCAGAAGCAGAACTTCTGTGAAGTAGGTACGTTCAGCTAGCTAGGCTGTTAAGGCGTGCCAGGTAAAATTATTCTTTTCGCCACCAGTTACCAACCAGTAACTGCTGTATTCTGCTCCGTTTTCCAGCTGCTGCTAAGAACTGCTGATCCTTTCCTCAGGGAGGTTTGGGGCCCAACCTAAGCACCCCTTACCAGTCTTCCCTGACCACCCCAGCTTATAAGATCTCCCCGTGAGATCTTGAGATCCACTGTGAGAGACAAATCCTGTTAACATTTTGGTATATTTTCCTCCACTCTTTTTTCTCCTATGTATATGATTTTTCAGAGTTGAGATTATACTCTGTATATAATACTGTATCCTATCTTCAACTTCTAACCTTATTTAAGTCATTTGTAAATAGGGTTTTAAAAGTTACATAATATGTCCTGGAGTGGATGCAGTATGATTTACTTATATTTGCTTTTTTATGCAAATATTAGTCTAATTGGATCATGGGAATATCCAAGGCAAGTCACCCTACTGTATTATTCCCCTTCCCTACTCCGTTAGCTATGGAAAATGTTGTGTCTGTAGATGATAAGTCCATATCTTTGCTCGCTTCTCTGTTTTCAGTCTAAATATCATAGGAACTTTTTGCTCGAGGAGACCCACAAAGTACTATTTGCAGCTTACTCAGAGCTGTTACATCACCCAAATCTCTCCACCCAGAAAAAGGGGGCATTTGCATTTTAGGGGCCCATAAATCCTCTGAAATTCCACAAGAAGCATTTGGAGTGAGCATTTATGCATTTCCCCGCGGTTTTCACTAGATTCTCATAGGCGTGCTTATCCAACAAAAAGCCACCGACACAGAGACTAAAGCCCATCTGGAGACAGACGTATTTATTAAACTTCTCTGAAATCAATGATACCATTTTTCACCTTTTACTGTTCTTGGTTTTCAGGAAGGGATGAGACCATGCAGCCTGCCAGACCATCTTTCCTTGAATACTTTGAACAAAAAGAAAAGGAAAATCAGATCAACAGCTTCGGCCAGAGTGTACCTGGTCCCCTGAGGAACTCCTCTGACTGGAAAGTGCCACAGGACGGAGACTATGAATTTGTAAGTAGTGCTGGAAGTGGACAGTGGTGTCTGCTGGGGAGGGTTATTTGCCGCATCGCACACCCACTTCTGTCACTTCACCGAAAGGGTCAGAGCATCTTCTAATGCAGTGCAGGCCCCTGGCCATGCTGGCAGCAGCCCCTGGCCTGAGGGCGTCATGAGTTTGAGATGACATTTTGACGGACACTTGAGCACTTCTGGAGCTCCTGATTGGTGGCAACTTCTTTGCTTTAAAAATCCTTTATTCACTTGCCATTTTTCTTTTTGTTGAGATTGGGATTGCTATTGGTCAAAGAAATACTCATCGAGTGTGTACACACCGTCTTTCATCATTTATTTGGGATTGTGACTTTCTATTTAAGAGTTAGACCGGAGGGCAATTCATGCTGGTTTGTAGCGTTTTGGCTGTTCTGGTAATCATTTTCCTAATTTTAGGGTCTCTGAGAGGATTACTCTGAATTTTGCCTGAGGATGAATATTAAATTGTTCCACAGTTTCTTATGAAAAACTGGATGTGTTTTTCCTTTCTTTGCAGTGGAACATTCTCCCTCAACCACAGCCACTTGTTAGTGTTCACAGAGATTTAATGAGTAGAGGCAATAAAAAATGGGGGGAAAAGTAAGCTAAGGAGTCTGCATTCCTTTTCTGAATATTTTTGGAAAAGAATCTTTAGGGTTTTTTAACTTTTATACTCTTAAGTTCTGTCATGGTTCTGTTGTTGTTTATAAAAGAACTCAGATTGGGCATCATCACCGGATTCTCGGAGGCCTTTCTAGGCCTGGCTTTCCATTCTCCTACTGCCTGGCCTCAAGGTCATGACGTCCTCCTTCCATAACATAATGTCTAGTGTCGTCCAGGAGCAGGAATGCCATCAGCTAGCTGATACTGCTAGCGATGGAGAGCGTTTGAGGACCAGAGTAAGTCACCTGAGGCTGGGATACTGATGGTCACTGAAGCCACGGCAGAGCCCAGCTTCATTTGCTTTACCATGTGTGCCTTCATTTACTTGTTCCGCATCATCCGTAACTGTCAACTCTTTGTTGATTCCGTTATTAGTCGAGTCGTGAGATTTGAATCATCTTTGCTGTTCTCTGTTGCCCACATAGTTATCTTCGGCATATTTGTAAGGACTTATTTACTCAGTTTAGTGAGTCTCTAGGCAAAGATGAAATAACTTCTGGAAAGCAGATACCGTGATACCATCATTGTGACAGAAAGCCTCAGAATCCTCAAATCTGTATTCCTAGGTATAGTTTCCTTTTTTTCTCTCTCTGTCTTTTAATATTATAGTAGTTAGAGATCCTGAAAGTCCAGCCATTCTAATCATTGCTTTCAGATCCGTAGTCCCAGTGTTTAAAGACTCACTTCTCTCTGCTGTAGTTTTCCCGACTAGGATCACTGGCAGAACTTGTTTCTGCGTGCAAGTGCTTGTGCAGAGGGGCTTTGGTGGGTCTTTCGAGAGCATAGCATGCTTTCCATTCTGGAAGGCGGCGACTGCTAGAGGGAGTGGCCATGAGCACCAGGAGTGGGTGAGCACATTGCCCAGCCTGGGTGACGCCTGGCCGGTGTGAGAGGAGGTCCTGAGGGCACCCTGTACACCAGCGCTTACAAACTGGCAGCATCCAGCCTACAGGCCTTCTTGTGTGCTCTATGCAGGGCTCCCAAATCTTTCAGTACCTGCCTGTATATAAAAATTGAGAGCTTTTAAATAAAATGTTGGCTCTCTGGCTCATTTTGTAAACTTGGAAGACCTGCCCATAATAAACCTGCATGGTTGGAGGATCGTTGTCTGTTGCTGAGCAGGAGCTGCCCTCCTTAGGTCCGGTTCTTCTTGATGTCTGGCCTACTTCATTTGTATTAACTGGCCTGTCCGGCATTTAGGGGCATTCGACACTGGGATTCTTGCTGTAAACCCTCTGGCTATGTATATATCCACATTGGGCCTGAACCAACTCCATCCTCCCATATAAAATTTTATTCTGTTTTTACTGTCAAAATTTCAACAGAATTAATTTATAATTTCTCTTTTAAGAAAATCGCAAACTAAGCAGTGAAAGAAAGTTTAGGTGGGGTGTACCTGAGCTGTTATTCCAAAAAATACCAAAGATCAAGTGAAAATTATTTTATTCTAAGATTTTATTTATTTATTTGAGACAGAGAGAAAGAGAGAGAGAGAGAGCATGCTTAAGCATGCCCAAACGGGGTAGGGGGAGGGTCAGAGGGAGAGGGAGAAGCAGACTCCCTGCTGAGCAGAAGACCCAATGTGGAGCTCCATGCCAGGACCCTGGGATTGTGACCTGAGCCAAAGGCAGACGCTTAACCAACTGAGCTGCTCAGGAGCCCCTGAAATGGATTTTTAATGCCATGGTATTCTTGCTAGATAGCACTTACCTTAACCTGAAATTAAGCATTTGAAATAACAGCTGCAGACAGTTTCTTTCTTTTTATTTTTTTAAAGATTTTTTTTTTTATTTATTTGACAGACAGAGATCGTAAGTAGGCAGAGAGGCAGGCAGAGAGAGGAGGAAGCAGGCTCCCCGCTGAGCAGAGAGCCCGATGTGGGGCTCCATCCCAGGACCCTGGGATCATGACCTGAGCTGAAGGCAGAGGCTTTAACCCACTGAGCCACCCAGGCACCCCTGCAGACAGTTTCTTAAAGTGTCATCCCCAGACCAGCAGTGTCAGCATCACCTGGAAACTTGTTAGAAATGCAGACTCTCAGGCCCACCCCAGACTCAACTGCATCAGAGTCTCTGAGGTCAGCACTGAGTAATCTGTGTGTTCTAACCTACCTTATATGTGATTCTACCTTGCTAAATTCTGGTCTAAGTGGTTTTTAGAGTGTAGTATATTTTTATATAAGTTTCTTCTTTCTTTACTAGTAGGAACTATAGAAACTCAGAGATAAGGACGTATTCGTGTTTAATAGCATTGCATGGTTTTTTAGTTTCCTTTTACCTCTCCCTTTGCGTCTTCTGTACTCCTGTGGAAGGCATCAAAGAAAAATAAAATAAGGAAAATGTCCTTTTGTAAGTGACATTTGGCAAAGAAAGAGCCAAACTGTTGAATGAAGAAAGTATTCTGAATAATTTCACCTAGTTTGTAGAAGGTTGTGTGTCAAATTGGCCAACACATCTCCCCCAGGAATCTCTTAGAGACTCTCTGATTTCCCAATAGGCATTTAACAGTATTTAGTTATGAAATGTAATACATTTAACAGATTTTAATTATGAAAAAGATTTTCTTCCTATGAAGGCAATTGCTATTTTGAAATGAACTTTTTGCCCAAAATGGCAAATAGGAAGTAATTTCGTCAGGAATGGTAGAATTCAATACTGACAAAAACCTTCATATTTTCATCTGAAATTGAGTACTTCTGCATTTTTGAAATTGAATTACTTTATTTGCCATGTTGGAAAAGCAAAGGTTTCCTTTAACGTTTAATATGTATTGTGATAAAAGTATAAATGTGTGAAAATGCAGTATTCGCTAAAGTTGGTATCTGATAGTCTATAAACAGATTGCACGTAGTGAATTCTAGGAGAGTTCAGAGCCTCCCACTTTGTCACTCCTAAAGCCACAAAAGGCTGTAAACTTAAATCCAGTTTGGCTCATGAACCCTCCAGAAACACACTGTAATCTTTCAATCTAAGGTGGTGGAGTGCCAGGATGGGGGAGAGTTGGTGGGGGGAGTTAGTGGGGGGTGGGGGTGGGGGTGGGGTGTTGAATGGAAGAGATGCGGCTGCCCTGCCCATGAGCTTATGGGGCGTGGGGTGGGGGGTTGGGTGGAGGTGAGGGAAACAGACTTTAGGTCAGGTAGTTTATGTGCTCAGGTAATAATGCTATATAAAGAAAAAAAGAGCCACAGTAAAGAGATAATATGAGATAGTATGCCTTTCAGCATGAGGAGACATTCAGCTAAGACTTGAATGAAGAGGGGCGGCATGTACAAAGGCCCCCAAGCAGGATGTGGTGGGCGTGGCTGGAGCAGAATGACCCTGAGGACAGCAGCACTAATGTAAACACTTCAGTGATCACAGTACCTGTGAGCAAATTAAAATCCCCTTGAGGGGTGCCTGGGTGGTTCAGTCGGTTGATCGTCCGCCTTCAGCTCAGGTCATGATCCTAGGGTCCTGGCATGGAGCCCCACGTCAGGCTTCAAGCAAGGAGCCTGCTTCTCCTTCTCCCTCCTCGTGTGTGCGCTGTCTCTCTCAAATAAATAAATAAAATCTTTTTTAAAAGATCACCCTGATACCAAAATTACAGTCAAAATCCAGCTAAATCTTGTTTATAAGAGATATAACTAAAATAAAATATCACTGAAAAGTTTAAAATAGAAGATGGGAGAAATGCACACTGGGAAAAATCCTCCCTAAAAGGAAGTAGGTGAAACAATATTAATATCCAATAAAATTGAATCCAAAACAAAGGACTATTACATGGGGAAAGATACATTTTATATTGCTGGAAGGGGTACTTGACTGGAAGACCTAAGTTGTGAACTTCTGTAAGCATGTGGACTTCTCCCAAACTGCAAGAAATAAAAGCAGTAAAGAGAAAACGGCAGTCATAGATGAAGGCTTGGTGTTCTCTCAAAAATGGACATTTCAGTTAGATTTAAAAAGAAAGTTACCACAATTAACAAGATTGATAAAACAGAAAATAGAAACATTTTTCAAGTATCCATGACACTTTTAAAACATATATGGAATATTTGCAAAATCTGACTATGTTTTAGAATGCTCAGAAAGAAGTCTCATACAGAAATCACATAGGCCACATTCACTGACTATCACACAAGAGAAGTAGAAATTAATAATAAAGTGGCTAAAACCACTTTGTTCCACTTGGAAGTGTAAGAGTATGTCTCCAAGTATTTGTTCACAAGATAAAATAGAAATTGTAAACTATTTAGAAATGAATTACAAGTACCCCACAGAATTCAGATTTCTGTAAATTAAACTTAGGGGATGCAGCAACAGTGGTACTCAGAGGAAGAG